CACAACTCTTGCGAACCAGCTTGACCATGTGTTCACTCCACTCAGTTGGAGGAGCTTCCACGTCAAGCGACTGACCAAAAGCTGGCAACATGGTCCATTAGTCCTGGAACTACTTTTCCTAAGGAAGTGGCAAGTGGCCAGGCACTTCGTGAGAGGTACCTAGAGCCATATCTGACAACGCAAAAGTCATTACACGACACTCCTTAAGGTGCAAGAGCCTGGTGGCCCGGCTCCACCGATTTAGGATATACCCATTCTATCGTTTGCACGCGAAATAGCGGAAGAAGAAAAACGACTTTATTCACTGGGTGCACCGCGTTCGTCGCATAACCGTATGTTAGCTCTGAGAGCTAGCGTTAATGTGGATGGTGCGCGTCTCGAACGCAAGCTTTGATATGACAATGCCGAGCTTAAGGCCAGAGGACAATTGCACAATCGCACGTGCTATGCTTTGGCTATTTCGGTAGCCGCGAGTGCTAATCGGACTATAGATCTCCATCCCGATAACCCACACCACTAGTGGTAAGAAACAGCCTCGGTTTAGATATCACCCTGGCCTCGATGCTCAGAACATCCGAGGCGTATGGGCAACTTCGCCGAGAGGGTTTCTCTTACCCCCTTGTGTTTTCTGGATCAGGGTACCCTTGCCACTTTATCAGGTACTAGTATTGGACATGATGACGACGTCATTTCAATAGTCTCTCGACATGAAACTAACGACACCCATGCTCATCGAGCAGCGTCGGTGGTGGCCGGTGTACCCGTGGCAGTCCACGATAAAATTGGTTCTTGGCGTGAAGGGTCTTCAAGAGACCTTAAGTAAGACTCAGTGCGTGTCGGATGCGATGCAAAGCCGCATTTAGGCGATGAATCATTATCAAACACGGATCGAGGCTCATTTGTACTTGCAGATTTGCTTACATCAATATGGGGCAAATCCCTCGTCGTCGGCATAAGCTTTTCCAAGTTTTCATGAGAAGGATCCCGGTATGGATTAAGTAATCCTAAGTCGAACACTAGGTGTGTGCGCAATTTTCGTGGAAGGTTTAGTGTATACGCAAGTTCCTTCTTGGCATTGAACGAATATTGCCCGGTGAAGCGTGGACGCAACATTGTCAACAATACAGCGGACACTAAATTTGTAGGTAGGTTTGTAGCAATAAGAATTACTTGGTTTCCGACCTGATAACGTTCCTTATAACCTCTATTTTTAGCATATGGTTGTAGTTTTTGTTGGTCTTAACTTTCAGTCACTACGTCACGCACATGTCGTAAGACGTTCAATCGCGTTGCAAGTGGCTCACAAACCTTTTCTAAGTAGCAGGGCTGTTAATAGCTAGCCGATAGACAATCTTTTCCCTGACAAGCCCTGAACCACATAGTTGTAGCATTAAAGAAACACGAGGTTGGGTAATACCGATTACGTAGAACAAAGCATAGCCTGTAAAGGCATGAACAGCGTTGTTAAACGCGAACTCAACAACAGGGAACATAAGGTTTCATGTTTAGGCTTTTCTGCTCGAAACAACGCAAATTGTGAATAACGAAGCGATTAACACGCTCAGTTTGACCATCGTTCTGCGGATCCTTCGCTTTAAATATGTACAATGAAGTTTTGAACACCTTAAAGATGGAATTCGAAAACGTTTTTGGTCAAGCAAGGATCTTTATCAGTTTCAATTGCCACTGGAAAACTCCGTTGTCGAAAAACACGGTTAATAAACAGCTCTGCTGTAACTTTGGCATCGATAAAGTCCGGCACTGCCGCTAGATGATGCATCTTGATAAATTGGTAAACAAAGATCATAAAGCCAGTTTTTTTCCTCGATTCTTTCATTAGACTTAACACAAAATCCATACTCATGGACCCCGAACACCCAATGGGAACAGGCAGACTAGCCAGCGGCTCCGCCGCATGTACTGATGAGATAATCCGTTAGCACATTCTAAGCGTATGCACACAGGTTATCGCATAAGGCCACCACTGTGTCATTAATGGCTCGCTGAGCTGTAGGTCTTCTCATAACCAATGGGAAGTGGTACCATGTGCCTCATAAATAATTCGATACTTCGGCTCCTCATCACGAGTGGCAGTGATTCGAAAATTCTCTTTAATAGCTGTGCGTTAGCATAACAGGCCATTATCGATAGAATAATGATGTAGCCCCGCATGTAAACGTGCCAGAAATTCAATGTCCAAGTCTTTGAACACCTCGGTTCCAAGATCACGTCGCAAAGCTACACATTATTTATGCTTGTCATAAGCCGCAAGGATTGAGTCAGTGACCGACGGTGACAGCATAGTACGCGAGCAAGCTCATAGTCAGGTCAGCGCGATAGCGCATCAGCCAAAGCATTATGACTTCCTGGCTTATACCTTACTTCGAAGTTATATTCGGCATGGAATGGAATCCAACAAGTCAATCTCTGAGAGAGATGCGGCAAATTTGTCACAGTGCGCAATAACGCACGATCTGTATAGACCATATTTAAATTTGAGCCAAGCAGATGTACTCAAAAAGCATATTAGCGTACTTTATAGCAAGTAGCTCTTTATCATGAGCATGATAGTTTATAAGCAGCTTTGAGCTGTCGAGATTCGAATGCAGTGACACTTTCGCGTCCATCGGTATCTGTTTGTAACAGAGCACTGCCTATGGCAAAGTCAGATGCACCGCAGACGACACTGAAAGGACGATCATGTTCGGGCAAAGCCGGTACTGGCACACGAAGGAGGCTTTCCTTAACTGCTTGGAAAGCATCGTGTTTTGTGTTACCCCTACACTAATTCACATCCTGTCAAGATAATCAAATAATAGCGGACCCTTATATGCGTATTTTTGCACTGTATTTATGCAAATAATTGGCAAGGCCAATCCACTTACGCAGATCTTTTTGGTTATTTGTAATCGACCAATCGATTATGGCCATCAACTTAGCGTTTTCCGCTCAAAGACCTCGCTTCTCAATGAAGCACCCCAGAACGGGAATCTTTTCTGCATCAAAGATGCACTTAAATGCATTTGCATACAATTTTTTTTATGCGCATGCACTCGAGCACCGCTCGTAAATGATTAATGTAATTACCCACATCTGATCGACCATACGTTGCACGAATATGGACAATGATGTCGTCAAAGTACGTTTGCGCATAACCTCGATGAGGTCGAAATAGTTGCGTCACCAGGCGGCTCAAAGTAAACGAGGCGTTCGACAGCCCTTGTGGCATGACAAGCCACTCCCAAAGCATACCACTTGGAGTAATAACCGCTCTGAGCGGAATATCGCTCGCTCGCTAGGAAACTGATAAAAGCCATCGATTAAGTCGAGTGCACTGTACAATTTACATCTTACCATATTGTTCTGAAGAACATCCTTTCTAGGAATAGGTGTCTGCGCCGGTAAAGCGGCTCCATTTAGCTCATTATAAGCATGCACAATGCGCCACTAGCCATTTGGCTTCTTGACACAAAATGTCGGTGTAAAATGAGGAGATTCACTCATAAGAACCGTTCCAGCCGCGTGCTTAGAACGAAATTATTGGTCAATGACGTCACACTGTTCTTTCTGCAATGGCCACTGCCGTGTTACGCAGTATTTAGTTCCAGGAACTAGGTATATTTCATGACGTACACCTCTCTCGGGAGGCAAGACAGATGGTGGGTTGTGACATAACACATCTTGAATTCCTTTACTAAAAGATGTAATCGTTCCAAAGGATTAATAGGATCGAAGATCCACTCCGGGCACTAATTTCCGCTTTGCTGTCCTCTAGAACGGACTGATCCATAAATGAGGACGAGATCAACTCGAAATCGGGTTGAATGACCACTAATTCGGAAAAATTTCCTGCCTTTAAGGCCTGGCCAAACATGCCATTAGACGATGCACCTAGCTCACAGAGAGCATCCAAAGATGGAAGGGTTTACAAGCTTAATTTTCCATTAATTTGGCCATTCACTCCGTTAACAAGTGTGTATAGTGTATCACTATTGTCGCTATGTGTCTGCTCGGACTCCTGGTGCTTGACAGTTGCAAACTGGCGTCCATGTCGTGTTTTCTACGAGACCTTACACCCCTCTTTAATTATTAGATTAGTGCACTCGTAGTTATACTATTAGTACAGTAGTACACTCCAAACGAGAGCTGATGTCTTGATCGATATCCGGTGGAGTGTTACGTAACTCGAAAACTTCATCCTGTGGATACAAATATGCTACTCTACTTTCATTACACGGTACTACCCCTAAATTAAATGGCGTTCAGCCAACAAAGTCATTACCGACATTTAGTGTGGTGCCTTCATGGCCGACCGCACTCGGTGTATCTTTGTGTACCACCACAAACACATTAAATTAATCACATCTTTAATAACGCGGCCCTTGGCCAACCATAATTTCATCTTGCAGTGCTCGTAGACAAAAGGTGTAACGGGGAACCCTGAAGCTTGTACTGGTGACAGTACAAGCTACTTATTCTGATAACAGAATAAGGCGGTGCCTCGTAACTTCACGTACACTCGTACGTGCAGAGGAAGACGGTAAGAAGAAGCGAGTACTTGGTTAGAGTAAAAAGTAGAACTGTATTTATAATAGTTAATGTCTGCAATAAATCACTATTTATCTTCATCTAACTATGTCTAAATACAAATGTGTAAATCAGTTATCTGCTCACCACTCATTGCGTGCGTCTGTCGTGGCGCGTCTTCGTTGGTTGATATAATGGCCTATATCAACCAATTAGGAACTACTTGGAAGTGCTACAGAATATTGTCCTTATGACAATATTCTGAGAATATAACTCTTATAGTTATATTCTATTAACAATTTCTTATAAATTGTTATGTAACGATTCACCCCGTTACATCACCCCCCTTAACCATCAGTCACTTTAGTGACTGATTGACTAAATGGATACTCGTCCCAAATCATTTGGGACGGGGTTTGCACTTGTTGGTCCGCGTCCACTTTCCAACATCTCATCGCATGGTAAACAAGCCCATGCGATGCGCGAGCAAGGCCGCCGAGAGCGCGTCTGCACGTCTCTGTGCGGACGCCGAAGCAGAAACTACAGCAACTGATGTCCCATCGGTTGCTGAATCGACTCAGCCTGTATCACCTGGTGATGCAGGCGCTGGTCATGAAGACACTCGTGTCTTCACAGAGTACGAGCTCGGTGTCTCGTACTCTCCTGATACGGATGACGGATCCGTATCGACGGCAATTAAATCCAAGCCGCCTGCCAAGCGTGGCATGGACGATGCTTTGCGTCGCAGCATCTTTGGTTCATCTGATGAGTCAGATGAACCATCGCCGAAGCGAAGGCGCTCGAGGTCGCGAGACTCGGGCGCTAATAGTGGTGTCGTTTCTCCAATGGACACCACTTCACAGCGAGGTGCCAGTACTTCTGTCGGCACGTCGCAGGAAGAGCGGGACCGCAATGTGTTGCGTCTCGCTCCAGAAAAGAAGGCATGGATGCCTCCTAAATCTGTCATGGATCACTTGTCGGCGACGACGAGTGATCGTTATCGAACACGATTGTTCGATTCGTCGAGGATTCATCACCTTGACCCCAGCGCGAAAGACTATCGCGCTGAGAATGAACTCTTCATCGATGCTTTCTTCAGACATCGATGGTACAGTGGGAATCACAAACGTGATGGTCCCTCACTACTTCAGGCGTGGAACGCCTACATCCATAACCTTGAGGAAATAGGTCGTGACGTTTGGAACGACAAACTTGTCAAAGCTCGTGATAAGTTTGAGAAGAGAACCCCGACAGGTGCACGCTATAAGCTGCATCGTCTGTCAAGGGAGAAGGATTACCCTGTCTCTCTTGGGGAGACTCGTGCCCATGTTGTGTGAACAACTCTGTGCACGAGCACCTAAGGAGGCTTACCTCCTTACCAGCCCGTGGTGGCGCGTACGTGTCTCTACTGAGATGTACGAAGGGATTGACAACCTGAAATCCCTTTACGACCGTGCCGGGAAGACTTTCTCCGGCGGTCCTTCTGCGGCACAGGATGTGCCGCGTCGTACTGCTCGACCAGACCCAGTACGTCAATCATCAGTTGGGAGCGGGGCTCCCAAGAATCCCAGGACGGGGGATAACCGCGCCACCGGACGAGGTAACTCGTCCGACGTCCATGTCACGTCGCGGTGGTTCAACAGCTGCTCTACTAGATAGCGCTGGCCACCGCGAGAGTCCTCTAATGGAGGTGGAGGAGGAGGAAAGACGCTCTCCACACGATCATGGGGATCGGTGTGTCTCCGAGAGCATCTTTGATCGCGTAACGCAAGGGTTACGCGACGATCTCGAGCATAAGCGGAATAGGCGTCTTCAGATGGTGGACACTGCCTTGAAGCATCGAGCTGAGTTTGCCTTTGCTTAGCTTGAGAACGAGAGATCTCTGACATCTCTGCGTGACGAGCTAAGGGTAGCTAGTGGGATTGTTGATCGGTCTCGGGCTGAGATAACTGCTCATTCAGACCCTTGTTGATGCCCACCATCGGGAGCACAAGGCTCTCTGCGAGATGCTTGAGCGCAAGGGCGTTCTTCATCGGAAGAAGCAGCGTACTGATGGTACGGCTTAAGCCGACCAACGTAAAACGTGGGATGCGTTCGCATCTTACGTGGTAACTCGATCGTGTATGCATTGCCTAGGCGGTGCAATACACGAAATGGGCCAATGTACTTGGGTAGTAGTTTACTGCTACCCAAGTTAGTCACTACATGTTTTGGTAGATTAACCGTAGACAGTAGGACTAAGTCACCTTTATTAAATAAAAGAGTGTTTGCCCTTCCATTCTTGTCAGCGTTTTGCTTTTGCTTATCCACCGCTTCGGCGATGGAGTCTTGCACAAAACGGACTACCGTTTCACGAGCCAGTATGAACTCATCTGATGACTCGTTAGCTTCAGTGTGCTGTGAGCGCACTGCAGCGACAACAACCTTTTCTTCAGTGAGGGCTTCCGCACTCTCACTGGGATCATTGTCTTCAGTGAGGGCTTCCGCACTCTCACTGGCATCATCTTCTTCGATATCGATGTTATCGATATCGGCATCAAACGCAATGACTTCTTCGTCAGAGCGTGATGAGCGTGAACCAAATCGGTTTTTGCTCGCGCGAGCTCCCCCCCTTAAACCAGAGTTACACTCTAGTAAGGTGGGTACACGCGGATGGCGCAAGCCATTCACGTAAAACGGTGTATGTGTCGTCGACGCATGCACCGAGTTGTTGATGGCAAACTCTACCATCGGCAAAAACTCACTCCAACTCTTAAAGGAGTGTACGTATCCTCGAAGTATCTCTTCAAGGACACGATTGGCACGTTCCGTCTGACCATCTGACTCTGGATGATCAGATGTTGACATCTTCAAGCGCGTTCCGAGTGATTTGAACACGGAACGCCAGAAATCAGCAGTGAATCGTGGATCTCTGTCTGATACGAGTTCACGGGGCAACCCATGAAGTCGGAAGATGGTGTCAATAAAGACACAAGCACAGCCACTTGCCGTGATTGTCTCTGGTACAGCCACAAGGTGTACCATTTTGCTGAATCTGTCAACAAATACGAGAATACCCGTATTCCCGCGTGCGTCTTTGGGTAACCCGAAGACGAAATCCATTGAGATGGATTCCCAGCACTCAGCCGGAACCGGTAGAGGCTGTAAAGGTGCACGCAGTGAAGGACTTGACTTCACTCGTTGGCAGACTTCGCATGCGCGAACATACTTTCGCACAAACTGATACTGGCGGGGCCAGTAAAAGTCTCGACTTACCGTGAGATATGTTTTCTCTCGGCCACGATGTCCTCCTATAGGAGCATCGTGATACTCGAACATGATCCGCAAACGCAGATCAGTATCATCTGGAATGACAACACGTGGTGTGTCACCAGAAACGGCTGTATAGTACAGTAAACCGTTACGAGTAGTGTATCGATCTGATGCAGATCGATACGCAGACGACAATCGTTTCAACGATTCTCGAGATGGTTGGGAGAGATGTGACAACAACTTCACTATCTCACCATCTTGGGCGTATGCCCGCCTCACATCATCATACAACGTTGTAGATGGAACTGAGGACGTCATAACCGCAACAGTGACTGTCTCACTGTTGGGTTTCGCGACTGTTTCAAAGTCGGGACGACGTGAGAGTGCATCAGCGACGACATTAAGTCGTCCTGGTTTGTACTCGACCGTAAAGTTGTATTCTGCAAAGAATGACAACCACCGCGCCATTCGTTGTGAAAGGTGCAGGCTGTTTACTGCCGTGCGTAATGACGCATGGTCAGTGTAAACAACGAAGGGTCTATCTCCTGATAGATAGACTCTGAACTTCGCGAGTGCATACTTCATGGCAAGGAGTTCCTTGTCATGCACTGGATAGTTCCGCTCAGCTGGTTGCAGCTGACGCGACTGATAGCAGACGACGCGTTCAACGCCTTCAAGGTCGTACTGCATTAATGCACAGCCGATTGCGAAATCGCTGGCATCACAGACCACATGAAATGGCCTGTCCTGATCGGCTATTGCTAGGACTGGGGATTGTATCAAGCTCTGCTTGATACCCTTCAAAGGAGCGTTGACATTCAGCGTTCCATAACCACCTCTCGTTCTTTTTCAACAAACGAGAGAGGTGTACAGTCATCTCGGCGTAATTGCGTGAATACTTATGCAAATACGCCGCTAGCCCAAGGAATTTTCGAAGACCTTTGACATCGACCGGCACGGGCCAGTCGGTGATCGCCTTGATCTTTTCGGGATCAGGACGTACACCGTTCTTACCAACGATGCACCCAAGAAGTGGTATTTCGCTTGCTGCAAATATACACTTCTTGAGGTTTGCATACAATTGATGCTTTCGCATGATTGTAAGAACTTGTCGGACGTGGTACTTGTGAACCTCAACGTCCGACTTTCCATCCATAGCTCGACTATGGATGAATACGCCATCGAAATAACTCGGCGCGAATTCTCGTACTGGCCTCAACAGATGTGATACACACCTGTTGAACGTGGCAGGGGCATTACTGAGCCCTTGTGGCATTACTAGCCATTCCCAGAGCATGCCGCTAGGCGTGCTAACTGCGGTATAGGGTATATCCCGTTCCCGCATTAGGATTTGATAGAAGCCATCCATCAAATCCATGGACGAAAAGATGGTACTCTTTGACATACCATCAATGATTACGTCCTTCCTCGGTATCGGCGTCTGAGCCGGTACCGTTGCAGCGTTCAATTTGTTAAACGCGTGCACTATCCGCCACCCTCCTGTTGCTTTTCGCACACAGAAGGTCGGAGAGCTATGTGGGGAAGTTGATTCCCTCACATGGCCCGCTGCTAAACGATCGGCAAAGAACTTGTCGATCGCAAGTACTTGTTCACGAGGCAGTGGCCACTGCTTCATGACACAGTACTTCGAGCCTGGTTTAAGCTCGACTTCGTGTCGAATACCTTTATCCTTCGGTAATTCGCACGGAACAGTTTCAGGGAATACATCCTTGAATTCAACCAAATCTTCATAGAGAGGATTTTCCTTGAGCGATTCCCATGATTGGGACTCATATCGCTCAATTCGTGTCTTTTCATCTAGGACACTCTCGTCCATAGATGAACTACTGAGAACCCTCTCGTTCTCAGTAAACACTGTTGCTGACCTTATGTCGGTTACATACTCGTCTTCAGCGACGAGTATGCAGATCTGCTTGACTTTGCCACTACGCAGATCACGCAAGAATCTTTTATGTTCGAGCGTTGGCAACTGAGTGATCTCCGAAGTTAACTTCGGAGGCGCAATCAGATCAAGTGTATAAGCGCCTACACATGATCCGTTATTGACTATGACATTCAATGTCTCTGTCATTTCCTGGGGACTTATTCCCTCAGGCTTCGAAGGACTTATTCCTTCGGCTTCCCGGGGACTTATTCCCGCGGGTTTCGGGGAACTTATTTCCGCCGTATTTGTAATCTTGGGACTTATTCCCTTTACTTCCTCTAGCTGGGGTTGCGCAACCACAGCGAGATCCTCTACGAAAGACTCTCCAGTCGATCTAGGATTATCGTTTCGCTTAACCTGAGCGATCGATTGTTTCTCTTCTAGATGTTCCCCTCTAGGGATACATCTTTGTCCCAGTCCACCCGACTTATTCGAGTGGTGGACCTTCGGCGCAGCCTGTGTTTCCTCACAGCCGCCGGAACTTTGCTCCGAAGTGTAACCGTTTGGTACACTAAGGTTTTGTGCAGTCGTACTAACGACCGTACCACAAGTGAGGCCATCGCACTCACTCGTAGTACATCCACACGCTTGTGGACTCTCCAAAACGTTCATCAGATGGCCATCTGATGAACAAGCGGCAGGCATCGTTACTGTCCGATGTTGCCAGTTTACCCGTGGTTCGTACCTTCTGAGCCACGGTATTCCAAGGATGACATCAAATTTGTCATCCAAATCCAATACGATAAAGTCATCGTCGTATTGGGTATCTTCTAGCGTATAGTGAATCTTCACTATACGCTTCATGACGGTTACGGATGCGCCTGTCGCAAGACGTACCGTCATCCTCGTAGGAGGTGTGTCACATTCACTGAATTTAAAGTGACCATCTTCTAGCGATTGGCGTCGCACAAAATTGTTGGACGCCCCACAATCGACTAGAGCTCGAAGGGACAACTTATTCGTCACTTCGAGTTTCAAGGTAATGAGTGAGATCTCATTACCTAGAGCAGCAACGCACAATGTCTGTGTGTTGGGAGCAACCTTCATCAAGAGGCCTACAAATTCTCTTGACGTTGCTGGATCAGTAGGGTGCTCCGCACCTACTGATCCTGTCCGTTTTTTGACGGTCCATCCCGTTGTTGCGTCTTTGCACCAACTGCGGACCCTCGTCCCTGCCCCTTTCTCATGGGTGGACGGTCACTACGCCCAGTGTCGCGAGACACTGGACGAGGGGCACTACACTCGTAAGCGTAGTGTCCTGTCTTTTGACATCTGTTGCATCTCTGCAACTTCTTGTAGCCTGTAGAGCGAGCCTTCTCGCTCTCTACATAACAGAGTTCCATCGGCTCTGGACCTCCGTTGTCATATCGTCTCGGTTGACGATATGATGTCGAGCTGGCGCGAGCCTGTCTCAGACTGAAGTCTTCCTGCTCCGCAATGGAAATGGCTTGTTCTAGTGAATCTAGTTCAAGCCGGAACAGGTGAGTCTTGACGGGACCATCCGCAAGACCCTGTATGAACACCGAAACCAACGTGTGTTCATCCACCGGATTGGAACTTATACAACTCGTGAGATGTCGTATATGTTGAGGCGTAAGCGTGCACATCACGCTTACCCTGCTTGAGCTTCAAGAGTTCGGTTCGAGCTCTGAACTCAGCTCTAGGCGGTTCAAACGTTTGTCTGAGCCGCGACTTGAAGACTTCCAACGACCCAAACGCGTATGGGTCGTGCAGCTTGAGCCCCAGTGCCCAAGTCTTGGCACGTCCTGCCAGATTTGACTGGGCAAATGCAACTTGCATATCCCCGTCGTCGATGCGACGCGCCCTTATGGCGTCATCCAATTCGACGAACCATCTCAAGAGGGAGTCTTCTTCGACCCCCCTATACTTTGAGATGTCAATCTTCAAAGTCTCGGGCCGACGCGAGTGCATCGACCCGCCAGCAGCAGCCTGCTGCTGTCTCAACAGTTCAAACTGTTGAGCAACTTGTTCCCTCAACAACTCTGCTTGTTGAGAACCTTGTTGGTGAAGCAAGGCTACTTTCTCGCGTTCTGCGTCAAGTTCATTTTGAATGAACTTGGCGATAGTAGCATGTTGGGCATCTCTATTGAGAGCCTCTAGCATGACGCTAGCAGCATGGATGCCCATGGTCGAACCCATTCGTTCAACCGCATCCCATTCGACATCGCTCAAATGGGAGTAGCCGTCACGCGTAGCGTGAAAGCTTTGGTCATCTTCATCATCCAACATATTCATGTTGGATGTGAACGCGGTCCTTGGACGGACTACGAAGTGCTACCAGGTGTAACGGGGCACCCTGAAGCTTGTACTGGTGACAGTACAAGCTACTTATTCTGATAACAGAATAAGGCGGTGCCTCGTAACTTCACGTACACTCGTACGTGCAGAGGAAGACGGTAAGAAGAAGCGAGTACTTGGTTAGAGTAAAAGTAGAACTGTATTTATAATAGTTAATGTCTGCAATAAATCACTATTTATCTTCATCTAACTATGTCTAAATACAAATGTGTAAATCAGTTATCTGCTCACCACTCATTGCGTGCGTCTGTCGTGGCGCGTCTTCGTTGGTTGATATAATGGCCTATATCAACCAATTAGGAACTACTTGGAAGTGCTACAGAATATTGTCCTTATGACAATATTCTGAGAATATAACTCTTATAGTTATATTCTATTAACAATTTCTTATAAATTGTTATGTAACGATTCACCCCGTTACAAAAGGAGTAACACTAAACGGAGTATGTGTCGTGTCAATATTATTAAACGAGCTACGTTCGGAAATCATGTATTCAACATTGGATTTAGCTAACTCATACAGGCAACAAAAGCACTATTGGCGCGCCCTCTTCTGTCAGAGGGCACGCCAATAGTGCTTTTGTTGCCTAGCGAAGGTGGGTTCATGACTCTTCAGTACTTCGCTAGGAACATTGCGCGTAGCAATTGAACCTTAGACCTCCAATAAATCCATTGATCATGGCGTCCAAGCCAAGCCATACCAAGGATGGGATTGTATTTCGAGTCCCGATTAAGGACAAGACAACGTTCAATGCTGTCAAAGTCCAAAAACTTTATTCTTAAGCTCAACGGAATTTTAATCACAGTTACACGACTTCCAGTCGCTTTAACGAACCGTGATTGAATCACACTAATGCGCTGTAAGCGTGTCAGCATAACGCTAACTTCCCTCAAGAGAACGACGTCTAGTATAATCGCAAGATGCCCCAGTATCGATTAAATTCGGTGAAACCTTTTTAAAGGCTTTAAATTTTGCCTCAGTGACCAACAAGCCATACTTATATCCACGCTCCATACCAATAGGTATAGAACGCTTTGGGAATAATACCTGTTCAATTTTACCTCCTAAAGGTAATACAGAACCCTGTTCTTCCTAGTAAGACGCCCCGTGCCTACTGGGCGTCGGCATTTCCCCGCGCCATGCCAGACTTCTGGCTCGAACTTGAGTATCGACTCGTAGCCTGACGCTGTCTACGCAAAGGGCAACCATTCCAAAAGTGTTCAATGTTTCTGCAAGTACAACACCACCGTACAACACGTTGCTGCTCAGCAGCTTCCAGTTTGACTTTTCCTTCATCTTCAGCATAGCGGAGATCCCAAGGGGATCCGACCTACTAACGACCGGAGCACTCGTGGAGTTTGCTCTCGCAGAGCTAAAACTGTACCCATTCCAGCCAAGTCTGACCGACTTGACGTTATGCTCAGCATTTAAAACAATTATAACTGCTTCTTCGAATGTAGAGGGGTGAACCTGATAGACTTCGGTTCTGGTAATGCCAGTATGGAGACCCCACATGAATTTAGTCACATAGACTGCCTTAGGCAGGGAATCATACTGCATAGCAGCCGTGAGAGTTCTCATCTCTTGGACATGGTCCATTAACTCATTCTTACCTTGACAGGTTCATTGAAATTGTGAACGCACGTGGTAATCCTGGTTAGGTGGTTAAAACTCTGCACCAATTGTGACTTAAGCGACTTCCGTGTTGGAAACGCTAAGTCGAACGACGTGCAACACGTCAAGGCCCTTTCTCTAGGTCTTCCATCGAGCTTTGAGATATCTGGCGAGACCTGTTGATGGTCAAGCTTGATGAGGCCTGATGTCTTGGTCATTTTAACGTAAAGGATCCAGAGGATTGGGATTTCACCCACTTTATCGGATTGATCATTAGCTTCCACTTTAAGTAGACGAGGCCCAGCCTCTTCGTCTGCAACAGACACATAGCTCGTAGGCATAGCCGACGCCATTTGGTCTTATACCTGCCCTAGAAGGGACGCTTCATACTGCAGAAGCCCTCAACAGGTACCGTCAGCACCTCTGGGCCTTGCGATACATAGAATTCCACATACTCGGAACCCAAAGATGTGACCAGCTTATCAAGCGCGACCTTTTGGGCCTCAGAGAGGGGAGATGGGTTTTTCATTCTCACATAGGATCAGGCTTAGAGACTCACGCGTACATTGATTACAAGTGCTACAAAGGATAGCGGAGCTGCACAGCTCCTTGAGTTTAGAAAAAGCCTTAGTGCTCACCGAGCGACATCAGTTTTAGAGATCTAGACTCTATGAGTCAACAAGAATTAAGCTCAAGGTCTCTCTTCCAGGGGACCGAACGATTCAGTAAATTTACAGCACTTAGTGCTCAAGAGTAGCCACCTCAGGGAGGTGTTGCTAACTCTTAACGATCTACAATCAGAGACGCCTCGCAAGGCACGTGTCTTAGACAAGCTCAAAGGGTAACGAAGAATTATTTACGTGTAACTCTAAAGGATGTCTTAATCCTGCTATGACCAGACATAGGCACTCATAACCTAAATTATCATTTTGAGATCTTTCCTTATCTTGTGGATGACACCTGCCATCCCCTATAAACCGATACGATATTTTACATCTCTTTCAGTGGGATACCATCCCGTGTGTCTAAGACACAGGTTACCGAGTATCCTACGATGTGTTATTTTTTTACAAAATGCTTACAAAGATAATGGACTCGTGCTGAGAATTGCCGTCAAAGTTGTTTTGATAAAAAAATTGGTCCCAGCCAAAGTTATGCTGATCAAAATTTAATTCGGTTAAGCTCAGTAGGTGTTGATTCAATCATAGTCCACATTGTTGCACATTTTGACTCCCCCTCACGCAGCGGCGACATCACAGGTTTTATTGAAGCTACTGCATTAGTGATGCTGATCGTCGCTTGCTTTGGTTCGACATGATGGATTTACACTCGCTCACATACTCACCTCATATCTTTTATCCAAAAACATTGCTTACTGTGGCTGGAACGCCGACAAATGACGTCCACCACTCGACACTGTCGCACAAAAAAGGGCTTAATTTGGTATGATTACGACCAAAAACTGACCAAAAAATCAGCTGAAAATAGTGGTATCGCTCCCTGTGTTCGTGACTCATAATCAGCCAAATCGTGTAGCACTACATCAAACTGATGGTATATCTCTACCAGAAAACCGAGAGGAGCTTCACGGTATCCACGATTTAAAGCTAATGTACTCAACCCAACATAACCGGTTATTTTACCGACGTGTGTCACCGTCTCGCTGTGCCACTTTGCGACTTGCTCTCCTCCACCACATTTGACTCCGATACCATCAGAGTTCCGATATGCGTTTCCACTCCATCCTCCTCATGTCCGCTGTAGCAGTTATGGCCTGCCTTGAGAACCCCTTCGAGGTGTCGGGTCTCCCCACTTGGGGTCTCGACAACAAGGAACCAACGGGCGACAAACACGACGGCGACGACGACGACGTTCCTGGCAGAACGGACTTAAGGGGTTCCGACAAGGTGAAAAGCGAAGAGAGGGCGCTCGTCGCTCCCGAGAAACTTGAGGCCGCCGCGGGCTCCAATCCAATGAACAAGTTGCTTCGGGTGTTTTTGCCCACAAAACCCTCGCCTTCGGGGCGCGCAAGTGATTTATACGTGCAGCTGTCCAGTCGTCAGAGTCTGATGACATGGCTTTCTGGTAAACACGAACTTGCGTTTTACAAGAGAAAGTACGGAACCGCCGTCCTGGCCAACACGCTCGTAAAGATCATCGAACACGGAGACGCTGCCGCTAGAAAGCGTGCTCACCGCCTATTGATGGTACTGCTGCGGGGCTGGTGGAAGAGAAGTATACCCGCGCTCGAAGTTGCGAAGTCCCTCAACCTGTCGAGCGGCGAATTATCCGTCAATCCAGGCAAACAACGCCAGATAGAGGTGTTACGGGTCTATGTCGAGCTCTTGAGCCTGAAGCAGAGGGAACAACGTACCGTCGAGGAGGTGCTGAAGGAGGTCAGCTCGCCCCAATGGCTTTCGTTTATGCGACGTGTAGTAAAAAATGGCGACCCTCGCGCTCGCAACGGGGAGGGAACTCTGATTCCGCCAGTGATCCAGCTGTCCGCCGATGACGTGTTTGAAATACTGGGTATTAAAATGATTGGAAAGCAGATTTTCAGCCGCACCCAAGAACTGCAAATTTTGGAGCAATGTGTGCTTTTGTACCCGACGATAGACATACTGAGCTATTTGATCAAATTGTGTGGGGGTGAAGCGACTCTTGCACAGCTTGCTTATGAAGCGCAAGCTAAGAACAAGAACTCCAAGGCCGCTAAGTATCTCGACCTGTTGCTAGACCGCTGGAAGGAAAGAGGAGTTGATCCAGTCAATCCGTTTAAGGATAGAGTGCTCGCAAAGGGTCATGTACCCAAAGCTACAGCGGACCTCATTTCAGCACGTTACCGCAAGCTCCATCCTTCGGACTAGATCCGGTAAAGCCCAAGCACAACGGCCTCGTTCGAATGTCGTGACTGTGGCAACAAATGAAGGTCTGCCATAAAACAGCAACAGTAATCGAATGCGAAAGATGTCGTGAATCAACACTCAACCTCTCCATCGACTTTCGACTTGTTCTTGTTAGCTCTTTGGCTTCCAAACGCCGCAATGAAGCAATCAGTGCTTTTCTCGAAAAGCAATCTCGCATTCCCGTGCTATTCCTGTGCATTGATGACGCGTCTCCCGTACTCACGCTGTAAAAGTCACAAGTGTCATTACACCATCCCCCGTACATGAGTGGCACAACCCACGATGGCTTTCACAGACCATCTCGCGTGCAGTCGAATTGTGTCGATTGCGGTGCCCCATCGGACTCGCCAAAAAGTAAACCTTCGATCTCTTGGAAGAGTCTTCCAGTCGATAAAGCGCGATGTTTCTGAGTCACCAATTGATAAAGCTTATTGAGAAAACACGCAAAATTGCCGTGCGAGTGTAGGCGTCTATATAATGCATCAGTTGAATCGCGACAGTCCGATCTTACTAACCTGTCGAAAGCCAGACATCCAAACCGTTTGCTACAACATTTCCCTTCCTGTCATGGGTTTCAACCACCAGCTTGGTAGGCAAACAACCACCTCTGGCAATTGTCGCCGAACTCGCGCGTAACTAGCCAGGAAAAACATGATGTCTTCATCAGCCTTTGGCTTAGAAAAGCTGAAAGCTGCAATCGTCTTTGAGCTTGCAGTACTTAAAGCACTCTGCCACATGCCGGCGCTTGATTCCCACCGTATCCGCGACCACGCTATCGATCGAAACAGCATCATTATCCCTAGAAAAGCAACTGAGACTCGACGGCACATGACCATTGCGCACGCGCCAATCGTGGATCCACCACTTCTATCAGCATGGATAATCGAATTGCTCTTCCGTAATTGAATCGTTCACCTGCTGGTATCGTCGAGGCGTCATGTCAACGACCGTTTGATCGGTCCATGTGGCAGCTGCATATTTGTTCACCCGTTTCCACAATATAGCGCAACAGCTCGCGTAGTGGACTGTATGAAGGTATCAGCATGTTCAATTCGTGTTCACACATGTAGACATACGCGTCAATCGTCGGGTATGACGGTTTTCACCTCACATCGTAGGTTGAACCGCGTCGTGCTACACTGTGACCGCAGGTACACCTTCATATCGTGTTTTCGAAGGTTGTTCGCGTTGGCGTAGTTATTCTCAGCCTCATCTGGTCTTACAGACTTTCTTCTCCGTGGGCTCGATCAACGGCACCCACGCCGTCCACCATGACTTTGCGAGCAACGTTTCTGCAAAAATTGCCGAGAGGAACAGCTAGAAACACTCCTCCCTGATACGTCCACGACGCTAATGTTATCAACCCTGTGCTGACAGTGTAAGGCGCTGCGCGCTTGGTCATGTGCGACGTCGCATCGCCCTTTGTGTGTGCTTTTCTGCCATCCCTCTCCTGTGTTTCTCCTCCACGCTTTCTGCGTCCAGCAATGGTAATCGCAAGACTCGCTTTCTCGTGTCCGTTCCAACAATAGCATCTTCCAAGTAAAAGTACCGACCCTGTTGTGTCTCCTTGACGTTATCCACCCGATTCGATATCCTGAACGCTTCAACCGCTCTGTCTTTTCGCGAAAAGTACATTGCAGGCATCGGTCACATGCAGCTTGATGTACCATGGCGCATCCTTGTTTGTGGCCCTCGCGCTGTTCAACACGACCTTTCCTGGCAAACTGCGGAGAGCCGTCGTCATCATTGCGTGCCTCAATCAAGGCCTCCTCAATATCGAGGCACTCACTCATCGCTATCGGCGGCGACCAGAATGCCAAACAAAGTGACACTGCGTCGGCCCGTAACTGGATCCCATGCTGGATCACTACATGATGCATCGCATGAACGACTAATTGGAGATTGTGGCCCACGAGATACCTTGCTGATATCAACCTTGCTTGCCGTTATACTGATGAAGATACTGCTGCCGTTCTTACGCCGTGACATCTTGCTAGAGGCAGTCGTTGTCACCGTTTTCGTCTTGACTGGCCAACTGGCTCCCTGTTGTCGCACAATAACAACTCTTACAACATCCCTCGTGAAATAGTCGTGGTCAAGCGTTGATTCCGTCCACTGCTCCAAGCACGTCGCTTTCGTCATTCGAGTGAAAACTATCATGCTAATCAATTCGTAATGGCCATTGACACGTCCAGACTCATTGTAAATTACCATGTGGAAGGCTGCACCAAAGTCATTGCAACCACGCCACCCGACGTCGAGGTGACACGGGAAGCTACTAGTGTCGTATCACGCACTACGTGATACGTGATGGACGAAACAGTTGTCTCAGTTGACAAGACGATTCGTCTCGTACAGCTTGAGCAGCCTCAACATCTCCAGCTCGTCACCCGTAGGACTGAAGGACAAACCAAGGCAGGCCTACGCTCCTGACACTACAGAGTGAATAGAGATAGATAGAGAGAGAGAGGAACGAACAGATCGGGTGTCGTTACACATTGAGGCAGTCTGGTCTAGAAACAAAGACGGTGGAGTGGATTGTACAATTGCGTGGTTCGACACGACATCCGATTTGACTGACGACCCTGCGGTAATGTGTGTTCCGAGGAAGCGTGTGGCGGCCTACGTGACAACGTTAAATCTGTAAGAGCGTCACCTGTTGGTTGAGACGCCCGCACGTTTCTGTGCTCGACCGCCTTTTTTCTATTGCCACGCGCAGTTTCCTCGCTTATGTACCATGGAAAGGCGTGCTGGTTGACAAACTCGCTCTATCGTACACCACCTGGCCACATCCGTCCACGACAGATGATAGCCACATTGTGACACTCCAGTACGTTGCGGCCTCAACTCGACCGACACTGCCTCTCACGTCCAGTCGAGCTTCCAAAGATGATGCAACCTGGCGATAAAACAGCTCTAACGGTAGCTCAACTTTGCATATCATTGCTTCGATCTGCCGAACAAATCGATGGAAATGAAAGTCACGTGCTATGGCAGGTGACACACGACATGCGTTCGAGCTGACGTCTGCACGTTTACAGCTTCTTAGTAACTCTGAATGGTTGCGGAGCACGGGTAGTCTTTTGGAGGCCGCAATCGGGTCTCGGGTTCAGACGTTAGTAATCTCTCAGAGGGGCGCACACATGGGAACCGCTGTTGTCGCTACTCGCTGAACTCGAAACTCTATGCAATACCTCAGTCAGACTGCAGGAAAATGCGAGGTCGTCGAAGTTGTTCCCGCGGCGACGCACTTCCCCGTTGAAAACCATCCGGAATTGGAAAAAACTGACATCATCGGGGGGGGACAGCGGCTTTCGATTGGACATGACGTCCGCCCCAATTGGACCCGCGGATTGCCATTTGATTTGAAGCTCCGTGTCTTGGTGCCCCACTTCAAAGCTTGGTAGAGTCGGTCCTCCGTCACTCTACAACTTGTTCCCTCTTTATCACAGCGCGAATCGGCGGCAACGCTGATTGGTCATGCGTATCAGCTCCAGCGCGCTCATATCGGCTCTAGTGCTCGTTGCAGGCCTCACGCTTCCTCCCGGGATATCCGCTATCTCCGCCACAGAGGCAGACAACCTGAAAGAAGAGAACGACAATCACGATGCCGGTATCGCTGACAAGAACTTGAGGACTGCCGACACGAACAACAGCGAAGAGAGAGTCATGTTGTTTGAAATATTCAAGTCGGTCGTGAACTCCATCCCTGTGCCCAAGCTTCAGAAACTCTTTCAGTCTAACAAAGCTAAGGTCACGATAGACGAAGGCGAATTTCTCGTGAAGCTGTCAGGCAGTAAGCTTTTTTCTTCCACGAAAGCGCAACTGCGAACGTTCATGTCGAACCACAAAATCGACGACCTGGCGAACATGCTACAAAAAGCCAAAGAGTCCAGCGACTCTACCATCAGCGACCGGGCAAAGAACCTGCTGAAAGGCTTGTTGGAGCACTGGGCGACCAAGAAGAAATCTCCCGACACAGTGCTTAATTCTCTGAATGTATTTGGCCGACCTTCTCGTCCTACAGAAGACGATTACCGAAAGATAAAGGTGCTACATGCTTATATCCAGCAGTTACGCCCAGGGGGGGAAAGCTACCCGGTACTATTCGAGGCGCTGAAGAACAGGTTTGGCCATATCCTATTGGGAGCAATTTTGGCGAGGTCAGGAAAGCTTGGTGATGCAAACACACTGCTAAAGCTTTTGATGGATAAATGGAAGGAGACGCTTTCCATCGACAACATGTTTTCACAGCTTCTGGATTTTGATCCGAAGATAAGGCCTGTCTTCAAAAGCGGCGAGCTATTGACATTGGAGCGTTACGTGAAGTATGTCAACGAGGACATGGATGTACTGGACGTCTTGACGAAAGGTTTCGGGGGTGAAGCTCAAGTCGCTAAGCTCGCTTATGAAGCCCAGGTCTCGACAACATGCTTGAAGGCCAGCAAATATCTGAGGGAGTTGCTACTGCGCTGGATGGCGCAAGGGATAGAACCGGACAAGCTATTGAGCACCAAGTTTCCAAAGATGCTTTCACAAGAGGATGAACAAATGAAGAAGTTTATTTCTGACCGTTACAGCGAGCTCTACGAGTCGAGACCAGACTTGTTTAACCGCAAGCTCGACGGCCCAAGAGAGCACTGAAACCGCAGCACAGATTGAAGTAATGCTTCCAGCAACCATGTTCGAAGACGAGGAAGCGATGAACACGTTGCGTCAGGGATGCGCCAGCACGCACGTGTAATATGCGCGTTTCTCTGGAAAACAACGCTATCGCATTGTCACACAGTTTACAAAGATGTTCGCCTTGCACTCCTTGTTGCCTGCTGCTTGGAACGTAGCATGCAAAGTGTCATGAAAGTGACGCATGTTATGCTCTTGTGTCTGAGCGTGTGCATGTCTTGACTTCATAAAGTGCTCCACACCAACTCGCCCAACGCGCTGTAAGTAAGCTGTCTGTATCGGATGGATTCTGGTTGCCGCTCGGTGACCGCAGGCACACCTTCACTCCGAGCGTTTTGTCCACCGTCAGTCTTTCCGTAAACCTCTTCAGCCAAACCTGGTCGTCGCAGACTCTGTCGAGCGCTGCGAAAAGGAATGACTGCACCGACCAGGTTCGGCTGAAAAGACACGCTCGACTATAGCATACGCGCCTCCACAGCGACCTTGCGAGCGGAGGTCCAACACGTAACGGGCACATGCTGTCCAGCATATTCGTGACAAAGTCTACAACATCGAGTTCATAGAAGCCGCTGTGCTGCCTGAAGAGATGCAACTTACTTGGCCATGCGTGATGTGAATGCACCCATGATGTTGTGTGATCTCCGCTCAACGTTTTTCCCAAAGCGCTTTCTAACGGCGCAGCAATGGTAGTGACGCTTCCTCTTGCTCGTTCCAACAAAGGTTTTTCAAGAAACCGCCAACCACATTGTGTGCGTCTTTCGCCCGAGCGCTGAACCTTTCGTGCGCTTCGACATCTCCATGTTGTTAGTAAACACCTCGCATGCCTAAGTCACGCCAGTCCAATTCAACGAAACGTGTCCTTGTTTGCGGTCCACGTGCCGTCCAACACCGACTTCGGTGGCTAACTGCGGGGAGCCGTGATCGTATAAGGGTGAAGTCTCTAGTGTGCGCTTCTCAGTCTTAATGTACTCACCCATCGTACAAGTAGTTCACCAAGAAAGTGTCAGACCAAGTGTCAGTATCGTCAAACCGTCACGACACCTCACGCTGCGTCACTGCACGACACGTCGCTGATAGGGGCTTGTTGCCTACAAGGTAGCTGGCTGGCGTCTACACCACTACCCCGACACTCCCAATGCAGCTTGCACGACCCATGCCCAACATCTTTCAACGTTCGATATCAACACTTGCGCTCCGTCACCGTATCCATGCTCGCATCCGTTTAAACGTCGACTCCAATCACAACCCTCCTCCACTTCCACAATCACGACAAGACACATCCTTAGCCGAGACCGTCCGCACTCCATCACCACAACCGCCTTGCACCATCGTCTTCGATTCAACCCCCAGCAATCTCGATAACTATTGTATCACCATCACGCCACGCAGCCGTACGAAGCGTCGTCGTCGACACAGCGAACCCATTCCCCTTCCACCCTTGACTGAACAGCTCCCCACCAGTCATTTTCTCAACACCCGCGTCTCGTTTCTGTCCCTCGCAGTCTTCCAACCCGTACAAACGATTGGTCAGCGTCGTCTCCTCGTTTCTCATTGGCCCCGTCCGCTCCCTCTCTCACTTTTCATTGGCTGTAAATCGTCCGACAATGCCTCTCCGCGTCCGCCGGCCGCTCCTGCCGCTCTCGCGCCGCTTCTGCTCGACGTCGTTGCTCTCGCACCGGGCGACGCGGGTGACGCTCCACGCCTCGGACTCCACGCGCACCGACGTGTCCATCGTCCCCGTATCGACTCTTAGCGCTCCTGCTCACGTCCAAGCGCGCGCGTGGACCGCCACAGGCGACGCACTTGACGTCGCGCGTCTGTTCCAGTTGGACGTAGACGGGACAAGCGACGGCCATCAGTCGCTGCGGCTCGTGAAGACGCGCGCGGCCGACGTGGCGCTCGAGCTCGTGCTGCCGCGGCATGTGGCGCTGGACATAGTTTTAGCCAATGGGCGCGTCGCCCTGGTCGACACGGTGGAAGGTGACGTGAAGGTGGTCGTGCAACATGGCGACATAAGTGCGCACAAAGTGCGGGGCCACGAGGTTTTTTTATCGACGAATCACGGCACGATCGACATTGCGGCGCTGGTCGAAGCTGAGACGGTCCATCTCCAGGCACAGGATGGGATTCAGTGCAAGCGCTTGATGGCGAAACAGGCGACGGTGAAGCTGGGAAAGGGGGACCAATCCACTGCTGCTTGTTGTTCGACCTTTGGGGCACTTTATGTGTCTTCGTGTTCGATTGGGGCAGCGAAAAGGTCTGGAGGCGAGTCGCGGTTGCATGTGGGCAATGTGCATGGCCATTTACAGGTGAAGAGTGAGGGACTTGATCGTGTCCAAGTGGACAGTGTCTCGGGTACGATTGACGTGCAGGACCAGGGGGACAAGTGCCACGTGACGGCGCACTTTGATTCGTGGACAAACGACAGCTGCAGCAGCATTGTTGTGGCGGGAGACGTGCACGTGTCGTTGCAACCTGCTGCACCAATGGACGTGGAGCTGCATGGGACAGAGATTACGATTGGGAAACACTGTGCGTTTCGAAGCAGGAACATGGACCAGCTTGAGGAGGACTATGCTGTTTTTACGGCGAATCTGTGTGCGCAAGAAGAAGCGGCGGTTGGCACGGCATCGACGGGCAAGATTAATGTGGGTAGCGCCAAGCAGGATGCATTGCGGACGTCTTTTTTCATGAAAGAGGCTGGTGGTGATGACGAGGCATACGATGGTTCGAAGCCGTCACGGCTGTTTGTACACTCGCAGCGAGGTGCAGTGACGCTAGAGCAACTGACGTGGATGGACAATATCAAGCGCAAGTACGTGAAGCAATCGAAACGCAGTGAGAACCCGATCGAAGGCTAAATCCTCCTAGCTGATAGTGTCGTCTGCGTGGAGATGATGCGCGTATGTGGCACCGAAGCAAAAAAATGAGCTGAGGTGGCTTGGCGTGGCTTTTGTCATCTTTTGGCGCTGCGTGTATTCGGCTTGATGCTTGTGAAACTAGTCAAGTCGTAGTGCAGCAGAATCGAACGTTTGCTTTGCTGAAGTCCATGAGAAGACTGTTTGTAGCTTGCTAGACATGAAGGCTATGTCGAAATGTTCACAGTGTGGCAAACAATGTGCGTGTTGCGCGCTTGCGGGTGCTAAGGTTCGTACAAAGGTTATGGGTTGACTTCATCCATGTACCGAAGCTGCTTCAGCCGTAGCAATTTGCTGATTAATCCGTGTCTCTCTTTAAGCCTGTTGACTTGTTCGACTAGGTGATTCGTGATACATTTGCTAAGCTCGCTCAGCTCGGACAAGTCGAGCACAAAGTAGGATACACTGACGAGAGAATGAAGGAAAACATGCCTTTCATCGAATATACGATCCGTTGAATAAGACGTGACCACGCCTGGTCAATCAGTACCTTCAACAGGTCGGTGAATTCACGCATACATTACGGGGCTAGAAAGACGTAAATTTGCTCAGATATCTCGTATGCTCGACTGTAAGGTGGAACATCTTGAGCCCATGCTAAAACGAGTGTTATGCTTCGGTTGCAAGAGACTGACGGCCGGTGGGAGCATAGGAAATCAATATGCAGATAGTGAGTGGTCCAGTTCATATATTGTTGGCAACGTCGTGGCGCGACAGTGTCAATGGAGTGGGCGGATGTTGATCCAGAACTAGAGCTATTCGTGACTACCCCTACAGGGTGAGCTTGAGCTCTCATTCATTGGTCTTACTTGGTGATAGTATGGACTTTACCGGTGCACTACCTTATGACAGCGCTAGAAATGACGCGTTCTACAGCGAGCAGACAATAATCGTCACGGTCAACCGCCGGACGATCTATTGCGCAGGTTCGTGCGATATCCTCATTGGTCACGATGATAATCGTCCTGCAGCAATTAGGTATGCGTTGTCGGCTGAAGGCATCAATGTGGTTAGTTGACTCCATATATGTTGTGTACCTGTACAAGTCGGTCTGCACTTACGTCTGCCTACCAGCGAATGTCTGCAATGATGTCGAGTGACACCAAAAGAAATGCGGTGCTCAAGCTGCTCGCTATGTGCCTGTTTTCCTTCACCTCGGGATAGTTGCTCCCACATCCGGCCATGAACGCAGGCCATAAGTGGTTGAATGTGCGTGAATGTTACCAAAGTGTTGATTGCCAGTGCAGTTGACCGGATGGTTCATTCAGACGAGTACGGCGAGTCAGTGAAGGAGAAACAAAGGCAAGCTGCAGTGTTTGTATTCCTTCCGACAGACGAATCTGCTCGTCCCTTTACAAAATGCTGCACTCGTTGCCTAGAATACTGGCATTATTGAGCTCACCACAGCTGCGGCATCTCCAGCTCGTGCACCCAGCAGGGAGCGGGTACGCAGTCGAGCATTTGCGACATAGCGCATTGCCCTGTGCATCTCGACGGATGTTGGCGTTATTGGGCACCACTTGGGGGCTGTAGACAGCTGCAGGGGCAAGAGGCACGGCCTCGACAATGGGGCGGCCGTACGCGTCGACTTGAACGGGTTGCCCGATGGCCGTGGGGTACTTCACTTCCTTCGAAGAGGTCTTCTGACCCTCGTTCGAATACATGAAAGCCGGTTGCGAACTGCGCGAGTCTTTTTTCGAAAATGCCGTGCCGCGTTTTCTTCGTTCTTTCTGGATTTTCGTCATCTTTGTATTGTTTATTTTGGGACGTGGGAGATACCGGTACTAATAAGAAAGTAGAGGTTGCGGAAAAACCTCGGCGTGGTCCCGTCGCTCGTCGTGTCGGTCAAGTTGGAGCAGACTAAATCTGGCTAGACTCAATTTGGTATTTTGCACAATCATGAGACCTGACACAAAGTTAAGACGTGACACAAATTTGACCCTTGACACAAATTCACCCTTGACACAGTTTTGATGCTCGGCCAAATTGTTTGGTGAATTGTGTCGGGCGCACCTGACAAATCCGCTCTATTCCGATCAATCGCTTGTTCTATGCTTGCATACACGCCTACGTCGTGGCATGCGACGAAAATGGGAGATATACTTGACCCTTGGTAGGCATTCCATCTTCAAATAATGACTAGAGTCCGTCACCAAATCTTCTTGCCACTTTTTGTTCGAAGGTATCAGAGCGTTGTTGCGAGATAGAGTCGCTTTGACTTGGTCTTACCCGAGAGCGTCTCCAGCAGTGAGTTCAAACTATTTTTGTGCCCTAATCAGAGACCAGTATAACTTCCTCGCGAACTTTTTCGCAAAAAAGCTCCGCAGCAGTCAATGAAACTGTATCATATAAGCTGTTTCGGCCGAACGTGACTGGTAAAGTTGTGGTCGCCTTGGTTTTTTTTGGTCCCCAATGCGGCTCGACGGTATAATGTTGCTAGTGTCATTCAGAACCACGTCGTCGACTTCAAATCACCGTTCTTTTCTGACAACTGAAGCCAATGACATGCAACTAATCTTCGCCAATGACCTTGTTGATCCCAAAATCCTGAGCCAATGACATGCAGCCAAAATGGTTACCGCGGGTGTCGCAGAACCACAAGACGAAGGCGGGATACCAAACAAATACCTTTTTCTAGAATTATCCCCGAGTTATTCGGCTGCTGTGACGCACTTTTATGAGTATAACTAAATAACGATTTGTGATAAGACGGAAAGTTAAGTCATTGCGAGCCCGAAGGGTGAAACTAAAAGTGACTGTGCGCAAGATCAACTGCCGAGCTTTTGAATCGTACTTATCTGTGCGTGTCTGTCAGTCCATCTGTAAATTACGTGGTAAAGTGTATCTTACACGTTCTACGTGCGATCGAGCCTGTCCCCCTCATAGGTACAGGCATATCCGAAGTCACTCTTTGACTAGGTCACTATGTCGGAGCACGACCGTGATTAACTGCTGCAGACGTTCTAGGACAAGATGCAACAATATCGTCCAGGATGACAGCTAACGATTTATCTCGACTGCTAAGATTTGCCATCGGCAAAGCCGCGTGAGGCTTTCGTCGAATGTCTCTCAATGTCACGTGTTTCATAACGGATAACGTCGATCGAGTCAAGGATTTGTATTGCACATAGGAAAGCGAGTTCGTTTGATGCAGATCTTCGTCCCATGTTCCAACCTCTTAAACGACGGTGCAAATTTCCGAAAAGTCAATGGATCGAGGATCACGAAGGCGTCTGAAGTAAAATAAAGGCAGCGACTGCAGGGAAAAGATGACAACGACAAAGGCACAGTCCATTCATCCTGCTGCATTCACCGCGTGAGCATCTTCAACATGATACTAAAGTACAGACGTCCACCTCGTCGTCGAAAAGAGCTACGTCGGGTTGGAGTTGACCGTGTACGAGCTCGAAGACGCAATCGACCACGCACTCTCTCGCAAGAGTCTCGAGTATAGGCCATCCCGCCTCTGAAAGAGCTCCGAGTGCGTGCCTTGGTCGACAACTTGACCATTTTGAATGACGTAGATCGAGTCCGCATTGCGCACTGTCGCAGACTCGCAGGGATGAGCCGCAATGATCGTCGTTCGACGCACTCGCTGCGCCACGATCGTATCAAGTGCCTGTTGGACGGCAATTTTCTCGCTCTCAGCTCCGAGACCTCGCGTCGGTTCATCGAGTAATAACAGTCGTGCATCCTGAAGAACCGCTCGTGCGAGTGCAATCCGTTGTCGTTGACTTGGAGTGAGTTGCACCTGTCCACCCACACGCGTCGCGTACGCTTCAGGTAAATACGAAATGAAAGCGTGGGCATGGGCCACTTCAGCAGCAGCGACAATCATCTCCAGCGTAGGTGGAGCAGCCATTCCGTAGGCAATGTTCTCCGCGACGGTGCCTAGGAAAAGTGTAGGCTCCGAGCTGACAAAGCCGATCTGAGCTCGCAACCACGCGACATCCAGTGACCGTATATCCACTTCATCCAGCATCACGCGACCGCTGTTGCCGGAAGCTGGGGACAATGTGTAGAACTTCTCCAGTAGCGCGAACACGGTCGACATCCCAGCACCTCGAGGTCCACATAGCGCCACTGTTTGGCCAGCTTCAACGTGCAGGGTGAATCCATTCAGAATTGACACGGTTGGTCGTGCTGGATATGCAAAGTGGACGTCTTCCAGCGTGATGCCTCCTCGGAACAAGGGACTTTGCGGCATGGGATCTTGCTGCTCGCTGTCCGAAGATTTACCTGAAGAACGTGACGTCGGTCGATCGGACACGTTCAAGGCAATTGCTGCATCTCGCAGAGCAAGAATCGAGGCACCAGCTTCTGACGCACCGTCGAGCTGATTCAACCACGCTGCAGCAAGTCCTGAGGACTGCACAGCGACTAGGATGATTACCATCGAATGGACGAGCTCCCGGATTGTGGCGTCTCCGTCGCGCACAAGGATGCTGCTCAGCCAGCAAACTACAGCACAGACTGCAACCAGCACAGATGCACTGAAGCTACGACTTAGAGCTTCGAGCCGTGCTTCGTGTCGAGCATGACGCAACGGACGCTGCAATAGCTCGTCAAAGCTCGAGCACCACGAGTTGCCTAGACCCAGCATCACAATGGCTCGACGATGAATCAGAGCTTCGCGGACGTGAACATTCGCAGCTTCTTCTGACTCGGATCCATCTCCTAGCGGGGTTTGCAGCCTGCGCTGGTGTTGAACTGCCTCGCCAATGAGTAGCAGCGGGGCTGCCGCGATCAACACCAGCGAGAGCATCCAGCTTCCTCGATAAAAAGCTGCGACAAGCGTTGCCGCAAAGGTGCACTCGATCTGGAGCTTGTGACCTTGAGCGCGGCCGATGGCCAGCGACGCAGCTGGTGCTTGTGTTGCCAACTCTTCCGTCAACGATGTCGGGTTGTGCTCCGGTGCATCGAAGAACGGCAAAGGCTGTGCCAGCAGCGAGCTGAAGTGCAAGTCTCGAAGATGTGAAGCTAATCGCTCGGCTGCTGCATCCAGGAAGAAGAGCTGCATGCTCTGGACGATCATGACGATGATAGCCCCTACACTAAGGAAGATACTGCACCTTGTAACCTGAGGTCGGAGTACCTCATCAAACGTCGTTGCGTCTTGCGACTCGAGAAATGCCCCGTACTGCTGCGTCATGTCGGCGAGTAGTTCACTGATCGCGAGACCAAGAAGAGGACCACATAGTCCTAAGAGGACCGAAGCGAAAAGCCCATACGACAGGAAGTTGCGTTCGGGACGAGCAAGCGCTTTGATACCTCTTTTCGTAAGTGCTGTGGACGATGCAGGTGTTGGCTTCACGACTTGTTGATGGCATGTCTGCGGTGGAGTTGGCTCTCCAGCAGGTCTCTGCTGCTGCTGTCGATTCGTGCTGAACTGACTAAGGTGAAGTTGACGGTAGAAGCTGTTTCGACGCTGCAGGAGCTCAACATGTGTGCCTTGCTCGACAATCTTGCCAGCCTCCAGCACGACGAGTTTATCTGCGTATTGCACCGCTGCAGAGTTTACTTGACTCGTACACAAGAGCATGGTCGTACTGCCAGCCCTGATAGTATCGCCAAACCTCGAAATGAGTTCATGCGGACTGATGGCTACTTCATCCAGAATCAGCACCTTTGGATCACGGACGAGTGCTCTGGCCAGTGCAATCCGCTGTCGCTGCAGTATCGTCAGCTTCAGTGCCTCGTTCTCCTCGAGTCGCGTGTCATAACCTTTAGGAAGTGACATGATAAAGTCATGGACGTCTGCCCGCTTCGCAGCATGAACCACCTGCTCCATGATCTTCTCAGTGCTTGCTCCGTGCAGTTCCCGAAGCACGACATATCCCACGGTGATGTTGTCGAAGATCGAGGCTCGGAACAAGGTCACCTGCTGTGGTACGACCCCAAGTTGCGCGCGCATCCACATCGGGTCGATCGTTTGTGCCTTGCATCCATCCAGCAAAATGAGTCCTTGCGAAGGTTCGTACAGACGCATCAAGAGCGTCACGAGCGTCGACTTGCCCGACCCACTGCCTCCAACCACTGCGACGCATTCGCCACTCAAAAGCGACACGTTGCAGCCTCGCAAGACTAATCGCTGGGGTCGAGACGGGTACGCAAAGTGCAAGTCGACTGCCATAAGAGCCCCTGAGCACGACGTTGGTCGGATCAAAGGGGTCTGCACCAACTCGTCGTGTCGGCAGCGGTCTATTCCACCAGAAAAGGTCTCGAGCAACACGAAGAGCTTGGATGCAGCGTTTCTCGCGCGAGAAACCGCTCGAAAGCTCGAGATTAAGTTTCCAAGCGCGTGGCTGCCAATGACCACACCAAGCAGCGTCGCGAACACTTCCCCAGGTGCTGCTTCTACCTCGTACACTTTGGTGCCTCCATACCAGAGACCAATGGCACTCATGAGCCAGAAACTTCCAGTTACGAAACTCTGAAGTACTGCTTGCTTCCCGTGCGTTGCAATCAGTTCGCGTTCGGTTGTACGAAGACAAAGCGCGTGTTTCTCTCGAACGCGACGCTGAGCATTGAGCGCAAACACCGTTCGGAGGTTCGTCAGAGCTTCATGTGCGGTCGCATCAGCTTCCGTCTCAGCCGTAGGTTTCGAGCCTCCTGACGTTGCAAGGACACTTTGAACGACCATTATAACGGGTGCGACGCAAGTGATGGCAAGTGCCAAGTCCCTTTGTGTCCTGAAAGCTACGATGAAGCTAGTGATAAACTGAGCAAAGAACTGGAACAGAGCCCCGAGGTTCGGTCCAAAACCATGTCGAATCAACTCTGCGTCGTCTCGTGCCAAGATGCTGCAATCGAGAGCTGACAGGGTCAATTGGTTCACGTCGAACCAGGACTGGGGTAAGTAAACCAGCAAGTGCCTTAGGATCTGCTGTCTCGAGCAGGTCAAGACCCGCTCGGCAATGTGCGTCAGGCACAAGTGAGCAGCGCAAGCAGTTGTACCGAGTGCCAGAGATAAAAGGAGTAAGGTCAAGGCCGTGGAGGTAGCATCTCGACGGTCGAATGGATTAAATGCGGCACTTGCAGCTCGCACTTGCATCGTCAAGCACGACCAGAGGGCTCCGTGGATGGCAGCCGCTACTAATCCGGTAGTCCAGATCAAGAGATCCCGTCGAGTCAAGAGCCGAGTCACGAGTTGTTGAAAAAGTGTCACGGATGTCGGTCGTAGCTGGATGCCAGTGCCAAAACGACTAGCGGATGGCAACTCGTCGTGATCCGCAACGCGGTGTTCACGGAGTTCTCGGAGAGCTTCGACGATGTCGGTTGTCTGTCGAAACCGACTGGTTCGGGATGAAGTCCGAACCCGATTGACGGAGGGAGAGGCGACATCATTGTTACTATCTGGAATGTGGACCCTTCGGCCGGTCGACCGCAGACCGAAGTCTCTTGGGTTGACAGCATTTCCTTCGAATCCGCGATCGCCTTCGGTACCAGGTTCGTAGACTTGACTGCTAGTGATGCTACAAACGCTCTCGGTGCTGGTGAATTCACTGTTGAAGCTGTTCGAGAAGCTGCTGCGACGAGGTCGGTGAGGAAATTGAGGATCAGGAGCGATGGACCAAGTCGATAAATCCATGACATTTTCGTCGGCCAGGAGCGAGTACAGCCGCATGGATGGAGATAGATTAAACAGTGAGCAGCTAGCTAGAAAGCGCGTGGGGAGTGTGAGGTCTTTTGCCGTCATCGAAGGGAGGTAGGACCAACTCGTGGTACCGTCGTGAAAAGAGTGTCACGCGTAATAGCAGGACAAGGCCTGGAGTGGAGCGTATCCAGTCAGCTCGACTTCGAAAAAAGGAAGGAGCAAGGGCGGATGAAAAAGACGTGGGGAGCACGTGCTGCTCTTCCTCCTCTAGTCGAAGCAATACGGCGGACAGGTTGAAAGCGCGTTTTGAAGAGGTCGTTCCGTAGACAACTGATTGGAGATCATCATGTCGTGATGTCGACGACGATGACGTCGTGCGTATATGCCACATTCTGCGTGACAGGAGAGCCGCAACCGGTATTGATGTGGGTAGCAACCTCGAAGTCATGTCCGATTCGAAGGCATACTGACGCACCTCGAGCTGACATAACTCGAGGTGTTAGTGCAAATGGTGACCATACGTTACTAAACTTCTTCGCACGCGCTGAAAGACACGTCACTTATGAAGCACCCGGATGGAGAACAAAGGATCAAGTCGAAGAGTGAGTTCCGTAGAGGTGATTGCCACGTCTTGGAGAATCTTTGATGGTACGTGTACAGATCAGTATTTGGCTACAGCCGATCATAAGATGGTCGAAGTTGACGCGAAGGTTGCGATCACGCTTGATCAGCTGCGAATGCAGTTTAACGTTGTGCGGATGTAAGCTGCAGGCTTAGACCGCATGCTGCGTCGCTTCCAGCGCAAAGTCGTGGTCACTACTTGTACATTCTCCGGTCATCTGTAAACTGAGGCGTACGCTCGTCGCCCATAAAGCAGAACTAATGGGTACATCACGTACGCGTTGATAGAGCTTTCGATGGCATTTCTGAGATCTAGGAAGTGTTTGTTGAATGGCACGGGGGCTGCAAGAGTGCCGACAGGACAGATCAGGTCGATCGGGACTGGATTACAGGTTGTCGTCGTCCTCCTGCTCGAGCCTGCTGACTCAATGTCGGCATTTTGTCGGACTTGTTAATGACACCAAATGAGCTTTGAAATCGCTAGATGCTACACTCTAACACGTACTGGACAAGTCGTTGGTTCTGGACGACATCAAGCCATCGAAATTGTTCAGTACTACAAGGAAGTGACGATAGTATAAGGGATCGAACATGAGCATCCACAGCGGGTGTCATCGGTCGATTTACCTCCAGCTTTAGACATCCACCGAAGACCACTACTAAGACCCGAGTCCTCTCAGTCCAATGCTCACGATATGAGCCCGCGCGTCAGGCAGACGATCGAATCGCACTGGACAAAGGTAAGTGGACAACGAGCAGGCTCGTATTCGAATCTGTCCGCCTTGACGCCGGAGATACACAGCACGATAGCGCAGGGTATTGGTCAAGAAGACCTACGCACTCGTTGTTCGTTGTTTATCGTCCGCTCCGAAGACCGCATGACATTCGTGGTACACAAGAGTCTGCGGGCATCCTAAAACTTATCCGACGATGCTGTTGCTGCTTCTACAGGTTCAGTAGCCGCTTTGTTTGCGGTTCGTCGAACCACGCTCAGCCCTACTTCAGAGCATGTGCTGAGCAGTGTTTCTCGAGCTAGCGCTTTGTTTGCCGTAGGCTTACAACAGAGTTTTCCAGTGGACGTTTAGGGAGAAACAGAATTAATCCAGACAGTGTAAGTACTGAGGCGATCGACAGATGCCGTCCTTGCCAAGAGAAAAAGAGCCACAATGGCTAATGGACAAGGTTTCATCGCGTGTTTTCTCGTAGTTATGGAACAAAGAGACGTTTCTGCATCATGTCATCCTCATAGTTGCGCTCGTCGATTACCTGCTCTCCGCGTCGGTCAGTTTTCTCCTTGTATTATCGTGGACCGTACATTTAGAAGTGCGTTACACGCATGTACCGTCGTGTATCATGAGTGTCAGCGACTCTGTAGACGAGAGCGCTGGTGGAAGCCGTACCTGAGACTTAACCACACTGGCGGGATATCCAGAGGTGGACAATAAACATTGGTTGTCAAGGGAACCAACAAGTTGAGATCGGACCGAGCTATACTTCGATGAAGGCTGCCATGGTCGGTCTTACCGTCCTATGCAATCACAGCGCCCGCGGACTCAAGTCTCGAAGCCCTTGGCCCTTTTCCAAACTACACAAATTTGATGTTGGTCGTCCAGCATGTTGTCACCGATGTCGACCTCGAGCGTCGAGCTTGCACTGTTCATTGGCGACTTGCTTTCTACTACAGCGGTCAGGCCGCCAAAACCGTCATGAAGTGTACAACGCTCCAAAGTTCCAACAAAATAGTCGATCTGGAGGCTTTGTATTGTAATACTACAGGAACGCCTGTGATCATCTCAGAATGTTAGGCATCGAGGCTCAAAAGGCCCTTCCAGCTTCACTAACGACGGCAAACGAACGCTCAAGGTAAGATGTTATAGATACCAAAGCTCTCCACTCTAGCTACGTAGTAGCAGATGGGAGCTGTGTAAATAGAGTCGCATGGTACATTCAGGTCGAGGTAAGGATCGAACCACGCTTGCTGTGGCAAGTAAAAGCAGCTTATCAAAAGACCCGAACAAAGTAGACCAATGCGACCGACTACATGGCAAATATGCGAAGTCGTAGACCTACCGATGAGAGCTGGCTCGCTTCACGCTGACAAATAAGCAGCCGAGTTAAAGGCCTCAGCACGTTTACGCGCTGCTGAAATGTGCTTGCGCGATGGTACATTCCCCTCCTTTGTGTGGTCGTTAGCCCGTAAACGCTCCCCATCCTGTCGCAAGTTCTCGACTGGACGTACGGCGCTCTTGCCTTCGCAAGGTCAGTTTACATTTTGCCAAGCCGCACGTCAACACAGTAGCAGAACTCAGCATACCCCCCAAGCCGCGGATCCAGCAGCAACGATGAACGTCAAAACGCGCTTCTTCGTCTTCATCGCTGCCGTCATCTCAGGGTCTGCCGTCGTCTCCAAGAAAATGGGCGTATCACCCTTCCCTTGCGACAGTTGCTTGATATGTAGAGGTGTCAGCTCCGATTACGTCGTCGAATTTCAGAAGGTATGCGCGAACGCTTTTTACAAAGATCGGCAAGAGAACAGCGTCAAAGCCACCACCTGCTGCGAGCAAATGTGCGCTGCCGCAAAAGGCCAACTGTGTAGGTCAAAGTGAGAAGCACCCACCCATCGAGCTGACGCGGACGTGGGCTTCTCGTCGACCGTTCGATGCTGGGTGAGCCTACTGGCTGGCAGCTCTTTTGACGGCAGCACTCGATGGTAGTTCAGTCTAATGCAAACAAGTTGTCATTGCTCACTGAGCTCTCTCGTGTTTCGCCATGTTTATTGGTTTGCGCGTAGCTTGTGATGATAGTAAGTGCTTCATCAGGCGGAACGTCACGACAGACAGCGACTTAAGCGCGAGACAAGGATAAGACGGAAAGACGTGTTGGAAGTCTAGGACGTAGCAATCACTTTGCTCCAAAGCTTGTTCAACACTCTCTCATGTTCAGCGGATTGGGCGCGTGAACCGACTCAAAGGGGTTCGGCCCCGTTGATGCCTGAACGATTGCTGCACGTTGTGCGATCGCACCCTCTTTAGCCAGCGCTATGTTGCCACTGTAATCGCAACCACGACACTACGTGACAGTGACGTGAGGCAAGCATCCCTTGTATTCACGGTCACTGCCCATCTTGGCTCTCGTGCTACGCGCTCAGAAATTTCATGGTGAGGTTCGCCACGACATCGTTTGATGACGGACCTAGTGGCACTTTCCAAGTGCCGATCGCGTTGCGCAATCTGCATCGATACTGGGTTAACAAGGATTGGGCCCCGCTAGGTTGCGTCCAGCCGCCCGACTTTCCGATACGATTAATCGTGTTCCCATCAGTCTACCAAGCCATAAGTGCTTGAACATTTGTCGATTGGGTCGATATCCTGAAACTGGATCCATTGACCACTCATCAAGTCATGTGAGTATCCTTCCAAGACTTTGGTCGACGTTATCGGTACCGTCATCGTTACAGCTGATCCATCTGTCATCAAATTGTTGCCAGGTCCGTTACTCGTGGTCCTCCATGATGGTGATTCATGAGCGTGAAGGATCTTCTTTTTCCCTCCCATCCAGTTTCTCGGCACATCGACTACCTCCGACTGTTACTTCGGGAACAGACTGTCTGTCCATCTGTCTTGACGGTTAACGAGGTTTCTGAAATGTCCTTACCCACTTGGTGCTTAACGAGATGGCTTCTGTTGTCGTAGTCGGGTACATACCGAGCGGCTTAACATTCGCTAAGCCTGTACTATCCAGGAAGAGATACAGTGGCCTGCATCCTGCGACGCGAATCGCGAATGACTCATGCATATCTTCTGGGACTGCACGTGAGTAAACAAGCGCGGGTATATCAAATATCTCTATGGACAAGATTCAAAGCAAAGCCGCTCAAATGCTGCTTTACAAAAAAAGCAGTGTCATCCCGATCGGCGCTGGAGCTTTCCGTCTTGGGTGCGAGCATGTTCTCTGATACCGCTGACAGTGTGGGACAAGCGTGGGAATCGATATGGTGGATAGTCCGCTCTGTCTACGATGTGGATCGATTGGCTCAAGAGGAAGCATTAGCAGCAATTTGCATACACTGAGAATGAGGTAACGCAATTGCAACAAGTTCTCCGTCGAGAACTTGCGCAGTCACATCGAGGGTTAGTAGCCTGGCCGAGTCAGGATGGGATGCGAAAGATAACGTTTTGCCTACGCATAGCAATCAATGTGTCGATGCTCTAAGGCTTGCTCGCTATTACATGTTACGACCTCTTGTTGTCGGTTGCAAGCACATTATTCGTGTGATCGATGATGCTGAGACTACATCGGGCCAATAACGCCCGATGCAGGACGTCGGTGGGTTGCCTTCCAGTTGTACTTGATGGTCGCCCATGTGCAGCCCCTTGGATCGTGAATAGCCGTGTATAACCTGTTCAATACTTTCGATCTCTTTCATAAATGGAGCATGCTGCGCTGGTACCTCAGACATCTACTTGTTACCTGTCGTGCTTTGATCACTATAGTTGGGCCATCCTTTGTTCATCATAAGGATAGCTTCAACCTCAAGTCTCGGGCGAAGGGCACAAAAGCCCCACAAAATTCATTGATCGACAAAGCCAGCACTACCTGCATTATGACCTCGACCAAAACAAACATCTCAAACGGACATTGCGTGTCTCCAATATGACACTGTGAACATAGCGGTACATCCAAAAGGCATTCTCTTCGACGCTATGACCATTCCACAATCATGTGATCCGTGGAATTTAGAATATCGAGCAGCCCGATGTGCTTCGGCCTATTCATCCTCTAACTATTGTCCTAAATCATGTGCCAGTCTTGTTTTGGCTCAGCCATCCAAAGTAGAGATCACCTGCGTAGGAGGAGACAAGCACCTCAGCAGACTTCGTTCAACTGACCTTTTGCAGCACCGCATTCCTCAACATAAAAGATGTTTACCACGCAACAAGTGGTCCTGCAACGCTCTTATCATACAGGCACCCTAAGATCCCATTTTCGACAGCAAAGTCGAGTACGGGAACCTGGCGTCTGAGAGATGGTCAGGCATCGCTGAGTACTTGAGCGGATCTGCTGCAGCTGGTGCGGACGAAAGCGGAACGCTGTCAATTTTGCCGGTTTGACGACGCAGTTGCACGTAAAGGTGCTGGAACTGTTGACGCGCCCGATAAGCGTTAGCTTCCATCTGCTGCATCGCAAACAACTCCTGGACTTGCAAGGCGTAGGTAGCGTGCAGCTGCTGTAATTTCATCGTGAGCTGCTTCTTGTGGCGCCGCTTCAACTGCTTCCGCTTGTGGAAGTCGTACGCCACCTTTCGACGCCAATTCATGCCGCTGGTTGAGACCGATGACAATTTCTTCGAGGGATCGGGCGATGCGCAGCTGCAGTCCGGAAGTTTGTAGATACGCTCACGTTCGGTGAAGAAATTCATTCGGAGGCGCTCGTTCTGGCGCGAGAACTGCATCAGCAAGTTGGTCTGCTCGGTTGCAGCGACTTCGCGGTCAGTCTCCACATCGACATCGGCAATAGACGACATCTTGCTGCCGTTACAACTCCTGGACGCGGGATCAGCGTATTGATACATGGTCGCTGCCAGCAGTGAGCCCTTGTCACTCACGAGTGGTACTAACATAAACTCAGGCTCGTACCGTTCTAGTTGCTCGAGTTCCTCTTCCAATTCGACGTCCTTCTCCCTGCCAGACTTCGTCGCCTCAATGTCGGCTTCAATCGGCTCCTTTTCCTCACCCGTACTAGAGTCCTGGGTTTCTGCTTGCAAGCGCGCAGACTTGCTCGATCCTATGTACGCTTGCTTGTTGGAGACTACAGCCCCCGTAGACCTCTTTGACGACAGAGACCCCTTCTCAGCGTCCTTCATTTCCGTCCGAGCCACCTCACAATTATCTTCGATGACACCACCTTCAATACGCTCATCATCCGTAAACAAAGCTTGCGCTCGCACTCGACGCATAGCCTTCCTTTCACTGATGACATTCATCGCCATGGCTTCCGCTTGTATCCTGCTCGAGCTCAACGAAGTCGTGGCTGAGGTCGTGTGGGCAGCAGATTCTGCCAGCGGTCGCAAGTTGTCTTGTCGTGATTTGGCTGTCGCCAGACAGGGCATAGTCTTCTCTAGCCTCCTCAAACCTAGCAATTTTTGCTCCAGTCTTGACAGCCCAGGCTGCTCCGGGGTGTTAGGGTGTGAAGAATCCGACGATGATGAAATCGATACAACTGGAGATGCTGCGCTTGTCCATAACTTGTCACCATCACGGGGCGTACTGTAACTGGGAGTGGCCACCGGTGTCGTGCGCTTGCCGACCTTGCCTCGAAAACCGGTCAGAACAAGCTGCTTGTTGTCAACGGTCTCCTGTGACCCACTATCGACTGACAGCGATGTTTTTCGTTTTGCTCGTGGCTTTACAGCGTTTTCCTCCCGAAAATTGAACTCCTTGCTTTCGTGCCGGTTCCGCTTTGGTTTGCGCTCCACTACTTCATTTTGCCCCGCTTCTTGGCGTTTCAACATGAAGTCCTGGCGACTGCGCTTCAAAGCCATGTTCAACTTTTTTTGACGCCGATGCTTCTCCTTCGCGGCATTCTCAGCGCTGATGTCTGAGTCGCTGCTACTGCTGCTGTCCGAGAAGCTCTCTGCTCCACCAAGGTCTCGAATCAGTTCTCCTGAATCTCTCTTTACTTCGAAACACTCTTTATTGCGCTCGTTGCGGTGCAAGAAGGCATCCAACGTCTGTACGAGAAGCTGGTTTTGATTGGCGGCTACAACCATCCATTTCTGTTTCTCCATTTCCGGAAAAGGGAGGACCGCAAGAAGACCACTCGTGTTGACTCGAGTAAGATCCGAGAATTGTGCTTGAAAGTCCAAGGATGGGTCCACAAAAAACTGCTCATACCCTTCAACGTAGTTCAGTGGTGTCGCAAGCCCAGTTTCCTTTGACGGCTGATGGATAAACACACTGCCATCGCTGCACATACCAACAGTAAATGGTGAAGCATCTTGTCCAGCAATTTTACTAACAGTCCGCATGTGACGCTGTCCACTCGTATCCTCAGCACCGCGTCGACGGCTTCCACGGGGATTCCACGCACGTAGCGAATTAGCGTTTCTCAGATTGACTAGAGCTTCGCGCTGGGCACGTTGCTCCTTTCGTGATAGTGGCAGGTCCAAGTCCATTCGGACCGCTGCTTGGAGATCAATGACGGCAAGGGATTCGCTTCCGCCGTAAGCAAAATCGCCGAACACCGCCACCGAGTCAAGTGTCTGCTTCACGTCAGTGTGTGATTGTTTCTGGATCGTCACTGAGTCGACTACAGCGTCGTAGTCTTCTTTAAGGTGCCAGATACGCACATTTTGGTGCTCAGACTTGGAGATGAACTGGTTCGCAATCGTCGGGTGGAACGAGATAAACTCCAGTGAAATACCGTTCGTCTGTTTGTCAAACACGCACTCCCAGCTCCATTTCAAGTCTGCACCACCCATGTTCTTTTTCTGGTAAAACCGCCACATGTGCACATTTTTGATGCCGATCCCACACAGTAAACGATATTCCATCTTCCCGCTCGTCTCGTGATACAAGCTCTTGGCAGCAGCAAACCCTTTCAGCTTTGCATCTGAAAAAGTGTGTGCTACGACGTGAGCAGTCGGCGATCGAAAAACATCCGTCAAAAAGTCCCCATCACGGTCACTCTCGTCACTGTCGTCAGCACTCAGCAGCGTCATCGACGTATCCTTGGTATGGCTGGTCCTTACGGTGCCTCTTTCCTGGAACAAATCTTCCGTCCGTGACGGGAGCTCGATACTGTCCACTTCGATTGCTCGAATGTCCGTCGAGCCACGATAAACTCCGGCAAAGATGAACCGCCCGTCTGTGGGAATGGAGACCGTCACCATGATCTGAGTATACATGCCTCGAGGTAAAATCTGATCCAAGAGCACGCCACGTTGGAACGAGAGTGACGCTGTTGTAAGTGGGTACAGATACACCATGCCATTGTAAAAGCCAGCGACGAGAAAGGAACCGTCGGGCGCGATAGCGACCGATGAGACGGTCGACGACACGGAAAAGTGGTACTCTTGTGCCTTGAGAGATACTGGACAGCGACTTTGGACAGCATTGGACGCTTGACTTGGTACAGGTGATGCAACTACTGGTGCTAGAGCCGGATCTTGAGCTGCTGGAGCCTGATCTTGAGCTCCTGGAGACTGATCTTGAGTTGCTGGAGCCTGATCTTGAGTTGCTGGAGCCTGAACTTGAGCTGCTGGAGCCTGATCTTGAGTTGCTGGAGCCTGAACTTGAGTTGCTGTTACCGTTCGATAGGTGATCAAGCTCGGGGTTGTTGCAGTAGAAGTAGTGACTATAGTGTCACTAGAGCGGGTGAGAGTGGGACAACTCGTGTACCCGACTGGTCTCGTCTCTTGTCCGAGTGGCTTGATTGGTGTACAGAACGCCAATTTCCGTTTCGTCGTCACGTCGTGACGCCAGCTGTCTCGTCTGGTTGTGTTGGAAATATCTTCAAGCACGCGCGTGGGTTTTTTCAAGACCCCTACCCGCGTTGCATGGTGATTGGCTGAAAAGGTCACTTGGTGCTGCAACGTTGTTGCAGCGTCGACTTGCACTTGCGGCAACTTTAGCTTGGTCGTCTTGAGACTAAGTTGGTCACAAAGCGTGAGGGCGTCTTGTGGCTTGCAGCCATTGGTAGGCGCCGGTGACACGAACGATGGCGACGTAAAGTGACCATCTGATGGACCTGGATGCTGTATCGTCGCTGTTACGTCGGTATTGGCAGGCGTCACGAGCGCAGATGGACGATTACTATGGCACGTCGGAGTGGACGTGCTCATTAGCGGTGGAGGGGGGACTAAAATAGGGGGAGATTTGACGTGATTTGTGTCGAAAGGATTTCGCATATGTTGCATGTGCGCAACGTAAGACATGGCTGGGTGAACATGGATGATATGGATTTTATGTAATATCGGTCGCTCGGGATGTTTTGAAACGAGGCATTTGTCGGATTATTTCATTCTGTTGTATGATGAGTCGGCGCACTTTTGTGTGAGCACAACAGTGAGCAAGGCTGAATGTGGACACGATTTGAATGCGGTGTTATATCCATTTACGTGGATGTTTTCGAACGAGATATTTGTCGGATCAATCTTTTCGATTTTTTGTTCTCCTGAATAGGAATATAGTACTGTCAACCTGGTAAATTAATTTGTTGACGACCATTCTTTATTGTTATATTTAAGCGCTTTCGAAGTCAGGTCGGACGAGATTTAAGCTGAAAACGTCGCCAGCTATAAGCTCAGCAGCACTCAGTCGCTTAAACCCGAATCATGACCTAGAGAAGACGAACACATGATGTTGCGAGATGCACAGCACAATGCAAAAGACGATTGCTCTACACTTTTTTTCCTTTTCCTCCACAAGTGTAGCATTGTAAATCTTAGCTACTTTGTTAGGTGGCATCAGAACAACACATTCATTTTACGACACAAACCCTCGTAGTATGCATCTCCGAGACGCTCACTTAGAAAGAAAGCTTTTTGACCTACGACAAAAGGAAGGCAAGTTCCATTAGTAAGCGTGAGCCGGCAATCAAGAGCATGTCAATCTGACCGATATGTGTGGACCTTTTCCTTACAAGCTGTTGAGATTGTGCAAAACACGTGCGACAACTACGAGGAGAATAGACATCTATGATATAAAAATAGTAATGGCATTTGCTCCCGATGTCGGCTAGTGTTTTGTCAACAGGTTGCATTTTGGTGCGAGCTCAAACCAACACCATCTATATTAGATGTGTTGAATACGTTTGGGAACCATGCAGCTGGAGGGATGCAAACTTAATTTGTAGAGGGTCACCGTTGCTGATTTGGATAGAGATGGCTCAAACAAGCTTCCCCAGTAGATCATCAAATAGCAAATGGATCGAAAGAATAGTTGACATTTCTCTGGCTGGTCATTAGTAGCGTCTACCGGGTTATGTTTGACAATTTTCAGTAAGAAAAGATGCATTATGTATGGAATAGAAACATGCGAGATGCGCTTTTCCATTAATACAACGGAGGTGTTAATCACCCCCTCTATCGCTATAACTATCCCCTCCCAACACTTACGATCATCTGATTGATCAATAAAAAGAAAGGCGACGAACAAGTCCTGACATATTGTAGGACGGTAAAACATCTCTCCGGTCCCTTCCCTCAGCTTATGCCACTTCCCACGAAAAGAACTCCCCCAAGAACGTAATAGCCTTATTAAGATTCGGTATCGGTTATGTTTAGTAGCAGATGACCAGATGCTCTTCGTCCAGTGGTGCTTCTGGGCGAATTTGAGCTCGTTGTGGACTTCAAGATCCGACTAGGGGATCAGAGGGAGTCGACGACGAGGTGAAGGTAATGAATTACGTAATGATGACTCAACGGGATTCACGCGGTGATATTTTGATTCTAGTCAAGCGTCCGCTGTCTCCTGAATCAAATTGCTCTCGGGGTTGTATAAATTTGATTTGTTTACCAGGACTTGTAACATCAATTTAACAAGTAAATACTGATAAACAGAAATTGAAATCGCCGGCCTCTTGTTGTAACGGGGTTACACAAACGGTTGTGATAATCAGGTACGTTGGTGTGATATGTACAGAAAGGGACTAGTGTTACTGATAAATTACACTATTGTTTCTCATACGCTAAGTAATAATACAGTACCCTATCGGTTATGGTTTTATTGTAACGGGGCACCCTGAAGCTTGTACTGGTGACAGTACGAGCTACTTATTCTGATGACAGAATAAGGCGGTGCCTCGTAACTTCACTACACTCGTAGTGAGAGGAAGACAGTAAGAAGAAGCGAGTACTTGGTTAGAGTAAAAGTAGAACTGTATTTATAATAGTTAATGTCTGCAATAAATCACTATTTATCTTCATCTAACTATGTCTGAATACAAATGTGTAAATCAAATATCTGCTCACCACTCATTGGTGTCTGTCGTGGTCTTCGTTGGTTGATATAATGGCCTATATCAACCAATTAGGAACTACTTAAGTGTACAGAATATTTGTTTATGAAATATTCTGAGAATATAACTCTTATAGTTATATTCTATTAACAATTTCTTATAAATTGTTATGTAACGATTCACCCCGTTACATTTATGGTATCTATCGTAACAGGATCTTCATCAAAGGCGGCGTAGTTCTGGTGTGATACACAAAAAGAACTATGATGAGGACTATTCGATTAGATAGCAGAGGTAAAGGTTGAAGACGTAACAAAGGTTCATTATCGCTATTAATCAGTAAATACATTTAGTTCCCCTTTTGATCAAATTCAGACACGTGTCTTTCTAAGACGTCTCTGGTCGTAAGAGCTAAGAGGAGCCTGCATTAAGTCTAGTACTATTGTGCATCAGTGTTACACGATTCCTTTGGAACATTTACCCCCTGAATCAGGACTAGAGGCTTGCGACCTTGTTAATAGACTTAGGGTTAAGTCTCACCAAGTCTGCAAGACTTGATACCCTTTAAGTAAATACCCGTTCAGTTTAATGTACTAAGAGAATCTACGAGTCTACAAATTTCTTTTAATGACAACGGAGTAAGGGTTTCTCGGCTACACCTTCGCTAAGCTTTTGCGTCTGATCATTATTCTCTTAACACCACATACTCTTTATTTGGTTTACAGCCGCTCCGGCTTGGCCTCATACGCTCACGTTGGCCACTGCGCACAACAGACGCGTTTGATTGTGAGCACTGATTATATACTACCTTGCTAGCACCATTCTTCCTCCAGCCAACCCTTATTTTACGCGCTTGGTAGCAACAACGCATCCCTGTGACGTTACATGGGTCTTTTAAATTAGCTTGAGCCCCAGCAAGAGAAGCATATTCCAGTGTCAGGGGAGTGCAAGGGCGTAAATTTTGAACGAGTTGTGGGAAAAGAGATTGCTGCCAGATAAAGGCGACGCATCGTATGTACCTGCTACTAGAATAACGTTCGTATCAATTCTTGTCTGTCCAATTAGGGGTTTTAATTGTGCGTAGCGTTCTTGCATCTCGATAGATCAGAGCATCATTAGTGTGAGGAGGTGGATATTTATTGTGAGAGGGGGGGAGGTTACTTTAACCCGTTTCTCAGCATTGACGATGATAACAACGTTGACTGACGAATAAGCAAGAGTTCGGAACAGAATTTTATAGTACTTTTGGTGTGATCGAATAACATCAAAAGTATAAAGGTTCTACTGTTTCTACGTGAAATAATTATTACTCTACATGCGAGATTGCCATGAGGTAATAGACGATATCAACACTTTTAGGAATAACGCTTCAAACGAGGTACGAAACAAGGTCATTTGTATCCTGAATACCATTTATTGGCCCTCTATAGAGACAACCTAATGACCTTTTAGCAATTTTATGCTTATCATAATGGGCATGCCGACCTAGAGGTCACTTTACGACGAATCACGGCCTTCTGATAAGTTGCAAAAACTTATCGGATAAAATGAGATTGGTATCGCTGTCTTTCACAAGGGAATTCGATACCAAAAGTCGTTGGAAGAAGCCTTATCTGAGTATCTGACATTTTATAGACGGATAACGAGTGTATTGTTTGCAAAAGAAAGGATACTTCATACCTTTCGAACACGGTGGTGCTATTTCGATCATCACGCACTCATCCTTTCACGCTCCACACTTCTCTTTTTAGTGGGTGTAGTAGTATTCAAAAGTCAAGTCCCAAGGATTGCAACGCGGTCGGAATTTGATTTAAAATCATGAAAATGATCAATGCACGTCTGCGTAGAACGCGGCTGATGGATCAGTGGTCAAAACAGAATATGCTTACTCTCTTGTCATCCTATTTCAGTTGCTACGAGAGACCAGGGACGTGTCACGTTATAAGTGAGCTGACTTGGCTGCACACCTAATGATTCTGCCGCACTTCGTCCACGCTCAGGTAATGTTTGTAATAACAGCTGCGCACATAACAAACGCAAATTATATGATTTAGCTCGTGCTGGCGAGATGTTTGCTTTACCTGTGTGTTCACAGCTCGAGTTTGTAATCTATCCTGCAACGTATATTATTCATGCAGCACAAGCTTTCATCAACCGCGCCTGCAACCGCATTATTTCCCTGCCCAAGTCGCTTTAGAATGTCTGTTTTATGCGCAATTGGCCCGATTCAGGCATGTTCGCATGAAGAGAAACTTCAGAGCTGACTTTGTCAACATCCCACTCATCAAATATGGCGTCAGGCAAAGCAAACCCACCGTTCCTTTGTGCGATATTAATATAGTACGTAGGAAGTAAAACGGTGCAGTTTTGCTTTTTGTGTAGTATTGACTTGAGCGATGTGACATACCTGGTTTAGTTATTGCATGAAATGCAGCCAAATTCCCGATTTGACGGTTTCACATTCAGTACCTTAAAGCTGCTCCTTCCGTCACTAGGCATTAAATTCCTTCATCGACCTGTTTATCAATATCTATCGTCTCTGAGTGGTTAATCTTGATTCGTGCACTCGTTGTTTCTTCTTAGAACGGACTAGACTAAATCGCTGCTGGGTGACAACCAAACCCCCGATAAACCGAATTTGTACAGAGCGTTTGTTGCGTCCCTTGAAAACGCATACATAAATCCGATTATACGCACCAAGTATCTGTCGAGACCGAAAAAAATGTCCCGACAAAATCTATTATAATAAAAAAACATTGTACCGTAAACAAAGCACTCACGAACGCGCATTTCCACCACCTTCCAAACGTAAATCATCTAAACCAGCTCGCAACATGATCGGACGATGTGATAAGATCCTTAAGTCGAATTGGAACTCACTAA